ATACCCCTGATGATAGGAGCTCTGTCCTTATCCCGCTTGGGCTCTGCCAACTGCACATCCCGCCCCTAAGTCTTTAAATAGAAGGAAACCTGGTCACCAGAGGCCTGGGGCCAGTGACGATGTGAAATAAGATCTGTCACTTTGTCAGAGGGTGGAGTGGGAATGGAGAAGAGAAAGAAGACAGTGGAAGCAAGCACTGGTTTTGCTTTTGGCTGAGACAGAGGGACAGGGAGGTGGGGAGGACAAAAAAAAAAAAAAAGAAAGGAAAAAAGGAAAAACCCAACGATGGCAAAAAAAAAAAACTGGTTTCATTATATCGATTGGACTGGTGTTTTGGTATCAGTAGTCTGAAAAGTGATGTTGGTTCTGTCTTATTTTCCTGCAAATTTTGGTACATGTCTATGTGCCTTTGGTCGTGTGCTCTGGGAACGACGTTCCACAGAGGACCCTGGCAGAGCTTTCAGAACAGAGATGCTGGTGGTTAGCCAGTGCCCGCTCTAAGACAGTGGTTTACGTGGCCACGTGCCGTTGAGATGTGCCCTTAAATTCCGCTTCCTGATCCACAGATTGGATAGAAGTCCCTTTGCATTGGTCGCTTCTTGCCCACGAATTGCAGGAAGTCGCTTCTTGCCCACGAATTGCAGGAAGACCTCGGCTGGCTTTTCATGGCTCATGCCCGACATGGCAGACGCATCTGTCCTGAGCAATTCCTATAGTTTCTACTCATATTCTCCATCCTAAACCGGCCTTATCTGAAGATGACTTCCTCATCGGTGGGGGACAGACAGAAAGGCAGAGGAAAAAAGGTGGAAAAGACAGCATTTGAGATTTATCAGGAACTTATTTAAAAGGGCAAGCTACTCTTACATCATTGATTACAGTCATATAAAACAACGTGATTTTCTTAACGACAGGCAAATTCCGTATTTTAAAATAAATCACGTTGGAATGAGATATCGCCTAGGCTCAGAGATGGGATCATTACTTTCCTTCCGGCACAGGTGAGCTGACGGAAATGTTTATTTCTCTAACTTTTTTTGCTCACCTTCTTTCCTCTTTCAGATAACAGGGCAGCCTGACTTATCAGCATCAAAAAATATTTCTGTCAGCATCCAGAGAACATGGCGGACCTGTCAAAGGGGGGTAGTTATGTCAGCCTGCACTTTTAACCTAAGCCTGCACACCAAGAGCTGCAGTAAATTGAAGGGAAAAAAAAAAAAGTTGCAGGCTGTCATGCTAATTAACAGTTGATAGGGTACAAATATCTCAGCACATCATATAACAGGCGGATTGTACCTTTTGACAGACGGTAGAAGCTTCACAAGAAAATATTTCATCGAATGTGAATATTCAGGTGGGAAACGTGACTTTCAGTGGGAAGAAGGGAAAAGCAAAATTCTTGCTACGGTAAGACCCATTTTTCCTTCAGTTGGAAAAGGAGGCAGTTCAAAGTGACAGCTCCACACATGTATCATGGTATGGTGGTGCTACCATAGTATGCTCATCTCTCAGAACAAAACCTCTGTCACCACTTTCTTTTGAATTATATTCATTTATAATGAGAGGCGTCATACGAAAGTCACTTTGAGGGCCAAGTGAATCCCTAATCATTTAAAATATTTGAGAACTTTAATTTGAATATTAGAATCGTGTTTGCATGTTAGTTCAGAGCCTTGACTGAAACTTCACTTTACGGTAAAAATTAATATCTCATGGGAAACTGTTACAGGTGCGTTCTCTAAGAGGTGACTCTGAACTAGAATAAGTAGTTTGGAAACCCAGTTAAATGTGTGTATAGCTCACATTTATGTCACTGTTTAATGTCAGAAGTGTTTCGGGTCTTTATTTAGAAGGTTGGCATTGTTTTCATGTCCAGATATATGTCCTAGGAACTTAACTCTTGTTTCTTATCAATTAGCCTAGGATAAAATTGGTTTTGTTATATGTCATTTTGTTTAAAGTTGCGCTTTCCAAGAACCTATCGATGACGTTAAGTGAAGACTTACTGTCACAGATTTAAAATTGTAAAATTAAGCCATTCTCCATAGCAGACATTAAACTGCAGAGCGCTGGAGAGTCACAGCGGATTGAATGTTAGCGTAAATTTAACATTATGTTCCTGAAGGTGTCTACTGTTTTGCAGCTACAGTTATACTTGTTTATAGTTGACTGCAGAAAGAATTACATTCAGAAGATTTAGAAGCAAGGAGGGC